AGTATTGCTTCAGCAGTCTTCTAACTTTGGCTCCTGTAATGAGGAAAATTAAAAGCTGTTCCAAATATCCTCCTGATTAATCTTCATGCTAAGCACAGTGTTGGCAGTAAAGATTCTAGTTTAATCACACCACACTTGATTAAACTATTCACAAAATGGAAGAAATACTAAAATGATAAGTTGACTTTCTGGACTTTTTTCCTGTGATGTGCATTGCATGGACTACCAGTAGTGCTAGATCTCTGAATATGATCAGGATTAGAAGAGAATCTTTTGAGGTGAAGAACAAGCTCAGTTCTGTGTACTTCATCAACACAGTCTGAGGAATGGTTAAGATGCTTTGTTTTGTTATAGTCACAGGAATATATTTAGCCAAGAATTCATAACATTAACACACGCACATGAAAAAGATTTTATAAATTTTTTAGAAGTGTGTGTGAAGAAAGGGGTCTCATGAATTATCATTAGTAGTTGGCTTTTTTCAGCTAATAAATATATCTTACTAGACTGATGGAACTACCTCTCCCTCCCACTTAGAACCTTGACAACTACAGCAATAGTCAAATTAATATTGGGATACTCTTAGTATTGTTTCTAATTTCTTTTAAAGTTACTAACAAACACATGGATATAAGCATAAGATCCACTGAGTAATAAATCCAGCATGAATACAGCTGGAATAGTAAGATCATAAGGATAATAACTTATGGGAAGATTTCTACCATATATTACAACTTGTTTTGCCTATACTGCACTTATGAAAAGAGAGGTCAGACTTGCCAGAATAATTGGAAATACATTAAAATTTATCTGCCTTGTTAGATTACACCTTGCAGTGGCTTCCTGTTGAAGGAGAAGGAAGAAATCATTCTGTGTTTTTATGGTCTTTCCACAGCAGAAAGTGCAACCTCTCTTATTTCACAGTATGGGTTACAAGCATTCGTTGTCCGATTCAAAACAGAGTATTTCCAGGTTAATATAATAAATGATGTCTTTATTATCTGTGAAAAATGCTAAAAGGAAGGAAATTTACAAAGTTCAGTTTATCAAATAGGGATGTACTTTACACAGCCATCAATCCTCAGATGGTTTCTGTGCAGTCTGCCATGGTAACTTAATTTTATCCAGAGATTCATCAAACACCCATTTTAATCACTCAGCTAAATTCAATACCTTCTTCTGTGGCATTCCAGTATCGTGACATTTCAGACATCTCTGTCCCAGATGATCCCAGTACTTCCAGTGTTTTGACATGTACATGTACATGACATAGATGAAGGCTATATTCACAGAATGCTTTCACACAGAACTTCTCTCATTTGCCTCTAAAGCACCTTACTGACATTTATGCAAGTGTTAGAAAATCGGCGGATTATGTCTTAGGCATACATTTTTTCATTCAGTTCAATGGCACATTGGAACGATTTAACTATTTGTTAGTTGGTTCCTTTCAAAAAGCAGCAGCTGTCAAAACAGACATGATCATGAAGGGACAAAATAATTAATTAGGCAAAAAAATAACACTGTACTTAAAGCCAGTGTTCTTATTTTCTCTGCAGAACATGTGTAAAACTGACAATTTAAAAATGGCATGTCTAATAGCACAATGGGTTTATACCCTATTAAGGACAAATCAGTAAACATGAAGATCCATAAAAGCCACTGAGCATGAGTTATGCAAGGTTATTTTGGATTGGTATTTTAACCTTTTGTTAATTATCCATATATATATATGGATATTATATTTTCTTGAATATTCTTGAATTATATTTTCTTGAATATTCTTGAATTATATTTTCTTGAATATTCTTGAATTATATTTTATTTTCTTGAACATGTAGTTTTCTCTATTTTGTATTAGTTTTAAACTTGCATATGAACTGAGATAATATAGATGAATACAACCAGGACCTGTTATAAAGGACTGTTAAAAATGTTACAAATGTCAAGACTATAAATCAACATATTTCCATTGCTTCTTGTCAAGTTACCTTACCTTTTACTATGTTTACTCTTATGGATATGTCACAGCAACATGTAGTTTTCTCTATTTTGTATTAGTTTTAAACTTGCATATGAACTGAGATAATATAGATGAATACAACCAGGACCTGTTATAAAGGACTGTTAAAAATGTTACAAATGTCAAGACTATAAATCAACATATTTCCATTGCTTCTTGTCAAGTTACCTTACCTTTTACTATGTTTACTCTTATGGATATGTCACAGCATGCAAATTCAGATATTTAACTCAGCTACATTCATCAGCTAGAGATCCAAGGATCCTCATAAGCACAGTGGAAAGAGAAGAGTTTCCCATTCTGTGCTTCACAGCAAGAACACATCATCATGATTCCTAGTCTGCCGGCAGAGAAGTACTTATGCTTATTTAAATGTCCTTCATCATGCACATTTGAAGATTAATGGACACCAACACTCAATTTATGGACTTGTGCTGACTCTATAGGCTTATATTCCTCTAGGTTCTATACAGAAATTCTTAGCAAATTTATACTTTTGGGAATTGACCCCAAGGCCACTAAATGTAAAGGTAACTTTTCCAGGGTGATCTATGAGCTTTGAATCTACACACCTGTTTTCAGCATTAGTGGCCCTAGTTTTTGTGTTTATCAGTGGAAGTACTTGACAGTGAAATAAAAATAAAAGCTTCTCAATGGGTTTGCTATTTAATCTGTATCCATTGAACAGTTAAGTAAGCAAGTACAACATCTTTCAAAACATACTCAATGACTTCTGCTATTGTTGTAAGCACTGCTAATGTTTAGGAAAACTGAAGTGTCTCAAAACATTTTGGAAAAGTTTTAACTGGAAGTACATGTGGCCTGGAATGAATATCATGTTAGATTTTATTACTCTCAACATTTCACAAAAGGAAACATTGCTTTAAAACAGTACTTTTAAGTCCACCAGCTTTTATTACTCTTTTCTGCCTGAATATCAAGCCACAAAAAAATAAATAAATTTCAGGCTTGTTTAATTACTGCAATGTGAGTGAGCACCAACAAAAGTCTGTATACGATTTTCATTTGTTTCATCTTACAAAAACATCATAGCATCAAATTTCAAATAAAATATTCTCGAATATATTAGTTGTTTTTAAAATGCTTCTTCTGGTGTTATGCATTAACTGAGAAACTTTGAGTTTATTCAGACAATGTCTATCTGTACACTAAGATATTACATTTTTGTCCTATTCAGAGAAGCAATTTAATTGTATGGAATATGAAAACTATTATGATGATGCCTGTAGACTCTGTGTGGAAGCATGTTTTTATTTGCAGAGGAAAGTAGAAGTACCATGAAAAAAATTTTTTTAATTACAGAGCTACTGCATTATCATTTTTTCCTGTCCTGAAAGTCATTATCTAAAGAAAAAAAATTATTTCAGGAAAAAAAAAAGCAACTAACAAGTGAAATTTAGTGTTAGAAGCTGGGTGCTTTAGCATAATTTGTGTGTTCAGTTTTGGGTTTCATAAAAGAAATGCACAAGAGATGCTCATTAATCTTGTCTTTAGAGGTCAAAACCAACTCGTCTTTTTTTACAAGCCAAGGTGAACCAGTGGTACAAATCAGGAGTCAGTACACAGTTGTCAGCCGAGAACTATTTTCTGTTTCAATACTCAATTCATTTGGTTCAGGTACTTGTCATAAAACTGGACCAAGCTGTTAAAAGTACCACATATTTATACAACAAAGTTTTTTTCTGACTTAAGCTTATATATAGAAAAAAGTCAGAATCTAAAAACAATTTACCTAAACATGGTTTCCTATGTCAAATGTGATATTTTATCTTTACTTACCCTTTCTGTGATAAGTCATTACCTTGGTACTCACTTCACTTGATTTAATCCAAAAAGCCATGAAAATAAGCATGATCCAATTCAGTAAGCCTGCTTACTCCCATTTTTAGTGAGGAAAATGTTTTCTGCCACACTCTCTCTCCCATTCAATTTCTCTACTTGAATTAGCAAGTGTTTTATCAAGGTATACAGACCTGCTCTTTAATTCTGCAGGCAAGAGTGCCCTCTAAACCATAGGCATGTCAAGCCTTTGCACAATTATAACTGAACACATGCTGAATTTTCAAATTAAAGTAAAATATATATATGAAAACAGTATAAAAAAAACTGCTAGAAGGAAAGATGAGTTTATGTAAAAGCCTGATGACTTTCTTGTTTTTAAAATTTTCCATATCTCAAATATTTGCAGTTTTGATTGATGCTAGTATCATTGCTCTTTCCTGCCTAACTTGTCATTTTCGCCGCTATCAGCTCTATAAAAACTCACACAGTTGACATTTACCTTTGTCTTCCCATTAGAACTAAGAGAAGGAGAGTTAAATGTTTGACATGTTTTGTACTGCTAACCATTCAAGTATAAATCATTTCATTACTTATTAAATTATCAGGAAAATGTTTGCTTTCTGCAATGAGATAATAATTAGTAAATTATGCTTTATATGACTTCACATACACTTGATTCACCATTCATTCCTACTGTTCTTTTTTTCTTTTTAAGTTCTATGTGTCAGCCAGAGAAAAAAGTAATTCTTTTCATTCTGCCTCAGCATTTTTCTTCATTATTTTTGACAAATGTAAGTTGATCTTCCTAGACTTTTGAAATGCAACCATTTCTATCAGATCTTTGGATGATAACAAAGATTGATAGTGCTTCATGTAACAGGCCAGAGCATCACTGAAGGGTAATAACAAACGTTAGAAGAAACAGTCATTTAAGGGTATATCGAGAAAATGTCAACATTATTATGCCAGCAACAGCACAATCACATTCGGTTTCTTGTGTTAATATATAGGAAACCTACCCTTTGAAACTTACTATCTGTGAATTCTGACAGTTTGTTTGCAATTATCATTCAGAATTACTCATTTGTAAGAGTGAAAATGCTACAGTGCCATAATTATTGAGATTTGAAAACAGAAGAGTAGTGTTTTGATTTGTAAACATATCATCACTTACCTTCTCTGCTGATTGGGCCGTACCAAAAAAGATCGGAATAAAAGCTAACCAAATTATGCAGGTTGTGTACATAGTAAATCCAATGGGTTTTGCTTCGTTGAAGGTTTCTGGAACCCCTCTTGTTTTAATAGCATAAACAGTGCATGTGACCATCAAGAGAATACTATATCCAAGGGAACAAATGAGAGAAAGATCTGAAATGTCACATTTGAGAACTCCCCTGGCATTTTCTGGTTCAAGTGTCCTCTGCTCTCCATAGTCTACGATGGTATGTGGTGGATCAATAGCAAACCAGATGAAGACTCCAATAAGCTGCAAGGATATGAGACTGAAAGTGATCACCAGCTGAGAAGCTGGACTAATAAATTTGGGAGCTGTGACAGATTTTTTACCTTGTTCAAATATTCTGTGAATTCTGTTTGTTTTGGTAAGCAAGGCAGCATAGCTGAAACACATGCCAAGTCCTAAAAAGATCCTTCGAAATGAGCAGACTACTATATCAGGAGTTGCAATCATTAAAAAAGTAATGGAGTAACAGAGAAAAATCCCAGTCAGGAGCACATAACTGAGCTCCCGCCCAGAGGCCCTGACGATTGGTGTGTCGTTGTACCGAACAAATGTCACAATCACAAAGGTGGTGGCAATTATGCCGAGAATAGCTATGAAGACAGGCACAATGGCCCAAGGAGAATGCCACTCCAGTTTGATTATAGGGATAAGCTGGCAATCCGTACGGTTAGCATTTGGTCTCTTATTAATGGGGCACAGTTCACAGTTGAATTCATCCACCTGGTAATGATACCCCTCACAGCGCTCGCAGTGCCAGCAGCAGGGCACTCCTTTCACCGTTTTCTTTCTTTCCCCGGCTTTACAGGGCAGGCTGCAGACAGATGCTGGATGAGTGTGTTCTCTGTTAGCCCACTGCATGTCTTCTACCTGTGGGTATAAAAAATTAATGAGCCTTCTATTTTCCTTCATTTATAATATCCTAATCCTGGCCACAGGTTTGTCATAAATCACTGTATACTGACAGAACAAATACAGTTTACCATAATAAGAAACCTGTTTCTTTCCCTTGCATTGACTTTATAAAAGTGTTAAATGATTGTGTCTAATAAATCATTCATGCCACAGGCTTGATGAGTGTCATTAGTTTCTATTTACCTCTTTACTGCTGACCAAATTGACATCTGTAAAGATATTTATTGACTCCAGGCTAGTTAAAAAGCAAAAACCCCTGCACGCAGTGCTTTAAAAGTTAATCACATGCAAATATAAATACCAGTAGTTCTCAAACATTTAATTACAAAACAAGTCTATGCGAGCTCCAGAGAAATTTCTGGTACAGTAAAGAAAAAGATTAAAAACTCCTTGCATCAGCTCTGGCAGAACAAAGGGTGTCAGAAAAAAAAAATCTCTTCCATGAATGTGGATATTTTACATTTTCCCACCTTCCAAGTCTTGAAACGCTCAACAGTGTTTTGTTTACATTTCTAGAAGATTAAAATGAGTATATACTTCTTTCTGAATAATAATGGAAAAGGATGTGATGGCTAATACTCTATTTCTCTGGATTTAAAAGTTCAGGGATCCTATTCAAGTATAGGACAGATGTACATAATGCAGTCTTGTTTTAGAAATCCCAGTTTTCTCCACAGAAGCATATTAACAAAATACACAGTTTTTTCATCCACCTATCTATTCTTCCTGCATGCCCTCCAAACAAGAACTGAATAGGAAACTTATGAATTTAAGCATTTCCTACTTAAAATTATCAATCAGTTTGGTCCCAGCTGTCCTTAGCCCACCCATAGTAAAACCATGTTCAGCAGAGGTCACACCAAATGAATCAGAGCCACTTGTAGGCACCAGAATCACCCTGTGTTGCTCCCACGGCCCACCTTTCATTCCCTTGTTAAGTGTTGAGTACTCAAGGACAAAGGACTTGTCTTGTTCTTGCCTATTAAGTACTGAGCACTTTTGTTTCATTTGGAGGCTTTATTTATGAGTGAAACAGCAGTAACAAAACTTCGGACATCAGGAATATTTTCATTTCCTTCTGGAGGAGGACAGAATGAGGACAGCTTATCAAAAAGGATAATTTTGGCCTTTAAAGTTTATTTTTCCAGCAATTTTTTCAATGAATTTGAGAGGAAATCACAATGTAGCATTGCCAGCCTTCTTTGCCTTCCTCGGAGATCCAGAGCACCAGTTACAGCACTGTGCAGGGTGAATAAAGCAGCAACAAGCAGACAGGCTCTTTGTTTCTTCTGTGCCCCTTCAGTGTAGGACTTTCCTGTTATTCTCCACTCAAAGGGACAAACAAGGGACCACACAGTAACAAGGAGACTAGAAACGCTCATACAACCAGCTCTGTGCACCCTCTGTGTCACTCAAGGACCTCAGTGAGAGTGGATTAGTCCTGAACCCACAGAAGTTAAACAGATTTGATATCAAGGACTGTGACAACTACACAAAATACATCATCTGGTGACTATGGAAGAGAAAGGAATTTTATTAAATGATTCTCCCTAAAAATCCACAAGAATAACCCAGTTTTGCATGAAACATCTTTGATAGAGCCCCAGAAGATCATGTGACATGTTGAAAAAATATTCACCTCTGCTTCGATCTCCTGGGTTTAATCAATTAAGTTCTCAAAACCCACATAACCCCTACTGTTTCAGCTAGTAGACATGAGAGAAAACATGTTATGATGAAATCAGCATGATAGGACAGACCTATTTTCCTTCACATTATTATTAGGAGAATAAATACATCAAAACTTCTGATAATGGGGGCAACCATGGGCCATGGTCATTAATCCAGACCTGCGGATAAGTTTGGGATGACTCAAAAGAGAACAGTACTACATATTTGCCAGATTAGAGTACACAATACAGAATCATCAGGAGAGTAGACAACACCTTATCCAGCATAAATTTAGCATGTCATGGACAGACAACATCTCATCTGGCAGGAAGACTGACAGGATAAAGCTAAAATTTTTTAAACACATTTGACCTAGTAAAGTGAGTTTATACCAGATCAGCATTTAATACCATGAGGTTACAATGTTTCTTATCTAGCATTAAGCATTCTAAAGTCACATTTACTGTACTGTGAATCCATGGCTTACATAACTACAGAGAATTCCTTTTTGTCTTTTGGAATTTCTACCTTAACAAAAATAAAAATCCTTTAACGGAAATTTATGATTTCAAATACTTGTTTTGACAGTATTTTAATTGACTAAAAACATGCTTAAAACCTCTTCCAGGTTGTCAAAACATTAGAGTGCTGCAGGTTACACAACCCATTAGCAACAACTGATAAGAAATTCCTATTTCTGAATCTCACTGTTAAAGATACATATTCTGTTTTTCATTCTAGTACATGTGACACACAAACTACAAAACATATATTTTCCAGCATGGCAATATAAAGTTATGAATGTTGGAAAACTCATTAGCTAAAGAAAGGTTTTGTTCTAATAAATTAATTATTAATATACGCACTATTAGCTGTTAGCAATGGAACAATACAAACAAGAACAGACTCTTAAAGCATAAAAAAGCTCTAAATCCATGTAGAGAATAGCTAGAATGAATGGCTGAGGCAGGTGTATTTTACAGGGTATAAAAGTCATGTTTCACAATCTGTATTGTCTGGGTTACTTTTTTGGGCAAAACAACACATTTAGGGTGACCGAAATTTCTCAAAAAAGCTCTTAAAAAAACGTTAGGAGTTTTTGCTCATGAGCTTTTTATTTAATTTTCTATCTAAGAAGAAAGAGAAGATATATTCCCAAGAAACATTGGCCAGTGTTTGAAAATGGCGATCCCTTTAAGATAGTTGCATTTCGGAGAAAATTCTGGCATTGTAGGATTTTAACTCTCAGTAGGTGGAAATATGGTATTCTCCCATGAACACAACCATCTGACAACTCAGTTTATAGCTACATTAGCAAGCAACAATGCATAGTGAAAACCAATCTGAGGAGCAAAGGTGTTGACTCTGAGGGCTTGATGTTCACAGTGGTCTGTATTTGAAATTAGAGTCGGCGGAAGACAGTTGTATTGACCTAATTTTGACATAGTTCAGTGTACTGAACACTGGTAATGATTAACAAAGATTAGAATTTCCAGAGGATTGTCCTTTTGAAAAGCATATTCTGTTTTCATTTCAGCTAAAAGCAATCCAGTTCACATAGCTCAAGACCCACTCCACAATCAGCTAGTGTGCTAAGTGAAAATAATAGTAGATTCATTTCAAAAGCAGGCTCTTGATTGAAACCAATATGCTAATGTGTATACACACTCAGACAATACTGTAGTAGAGGCAGAGTAGTGGGCAGGGGAAACTATACCTCAGAGTGACCACTGTGTGTTTTTATTACACCTGAACAGGCCGGTTAAGGGTTTTTCTACATGCAGAAATTAATAACTCAAAAGTCATACTACTTCTGGTCATCTGATTCATTCCCAACTATTCATTCACAACCTGCAGCAGTCTTTGCCTTTATTTTTGAGCTATTATTTTGCATAATAAAAAGGTAATCAGTAAATCACAAAACGTAATTACAACTATGGCATTAAAGCTCTATCAGTTCTTTCAGACACTGAAATGTATATATCAAAGGCCACAGCTTCTCAAAACTGTGCAGAAGATTCACCCATGTCATTATTTTTCTCTCTTTGTGTGCTAGTACTATTGATCTCACTTCTTCTCTGAGATTAACTTCAGACAATAAATGACAGTAGAAACTGTTAAGAAACAAGAAAGCAAAGGAGGATCATTTGGGAACATAGAACAAGGGACACCGTATAATTTCCAGAACTGCTGAAAACCTGTAATAGTTAAACTTTAAAGGGAGTTGCTGGATGCTCAGCCTCTTCTGAAAATCATATCTTTTTTATGTAGACATAAACATTTAGCAGTGAAACTTTCCAAAGTGCCAAGGGGAACTTGCTCAATACAGCAAATTAATTTAAATGAGAGTTAAGTGCCTTGTCTGTTTAAGTGCTTTTGAAAATTCCACTATGTTTCCATCTGCAATTTTTACAATCTAAATACTTTGGAAAACCTGCCCCAAAGAAGAAGTTCAAATGTTATGAAACTAACTTCAGGGGAACTTTACCTAGGCACACATTTCTAAAAAATATTCTCATGCGGAAAAGAAACTGACAAAAAGGCCAAAGCCAGACCCAAATAAAAATGAAAAAAGGACAGAAAAGAAGGGGCTTTTTGACATTGCAAAAGAATTAAGTCCTGTATCTCTTCAGTCCTTACTGATCAAAATGTCTGGGTCTGCAGCACTCTTTATACTGCTCAGACCCTGCCAAAGCTGGGTGAGTCCCAGATTGCTAAGTAGCCTTTGGTAAACATGGTTTCTAGAAGACTTATTTTGTCACCGTTTTCATGTGACATCTTCTAGCTGCTATTCACTACATACAATACATGATGAGGCAAAGTTCATTGCTCAGTGTATCTGAATTCACCATCTAGGTCAGCTGGACTGCAATAGCCTGCTCTGTATCTATTATTAATAGCTTAAACGTTATTATTAATTTTGAGTAGCTTCTCTGAATTTGGAAAGTGTCTGATTGATGTGCTATTATGAAGTACCTACATTTTCTACTATTCCGATACCTACCAGAGTGAAAACATCAGAAATAGTATGACAGCATGTCTGTAAGACACATATTCATTTTCTATGAAATGCACCATGATACAAAAAGAGAATGGCTTCATTGCTATTTCAATGGGCATAAAAATCATCTCTACATGAGATATCTGCCTGATGGAGCTGCAATTTGCTTTAATGTGCAGCACTAAGATTCATAGTTCACTAAGCCATTAAAACATAGACAAAATGCCATTTCATATCAAACCAAGTAAGTATCTCTGTCCTTCATGAACAATACAAACACAAT